TTTGGTTAAGGCTGCTAGTTTGGTACATAGACGGGACGTTTTCCATGGCCAAGGTTGCCCAAGTTATTTCTTATCATTCCTCTTCAATATTGCGGTTTCTTTCCTCTCTTGTACACCTCAAATCCTCCCAACGCTTCTATCTCTGCTCCATCTACATATTCTTTCCTATTTGTCAATATGTCACTGTATATTTCGCCCACTTTTGTTATTATATGCGCCACGAGACACACGACCTCTACACCTTTTTGACTCTTCTCTCATGACCTTGTAAAGACTGTATAAAATCCAACTTTCGAAGACCCCATTCAATCTAGATGCACATTTGTTAAACAAACTTGAGATGCGTAATAACCATAATTATATTTGGTGTTGTGTCATATCTATTTCCCTTCGAGCTTGACAGCAAAATCGTGAGCACAACTGCAATCACATTAGGTGAAGGACACACGCACTCACAAAATACAAACACCCTGAATACACTAGACTCCCAGAAGCCACCCACTAGTCATACATACAAAACCCCTGATTGCTTGATTCTCGGAATGTTGTTTGTCCCGTCCTAGATGTCAAAGATCGGCCCAATACCCTCGGCACCGCCTTGCCGGCTTTCCACCAGGTCCAGCCGCCAGCCTTCCCAGTTCTTGAGTGCCCGCTTGGCCTCCCGTACGCGCTCCAGGCGCTGCCGCGCCTCTTCCTCCTGTGCCCGTCGGAATGCCTCCTCGTCAAAGTCCAGGTCACCGTCGTCGTCTAGCAGGCCGTCGTCGTCGTGCCCATGGTGCCCATGGTGCCCATGGCCGTGGTGGTCGCCGCCACCGCCCGTCAGGACAGAGAAGAAGTCGCCGAGAGCACCGCTGGCGCCGCCGCCACTCACAGAACCGGCATGACCCTTCTTGCCGCCACCGCTGCCGCCCAGCGGCGACAGATCCACATCGCTAAAGTGGCGGCTGCCGCCGGCACCGCCCGGTGGGTCGTCGGGGCCTACCTGCAGCTCTTTCCGGCGCTCGTGCCAGATGCCATGGCGCAGGTTCGTGTTCTCGGCCTCCAGCTCGCGCACGCGGCGGTCCAGCTGCTCAATGCGCTCGCTGGCCTCGGGCGAGCTCGCGAGCAGCTCGTCCAGGTGCTCGTCGTCGGTGCCGCCGCCGTCGCGCGCGTCGGTCTTGCGCAGCCGCAGGTTCTCGGCCTCGATGCGCTCGAGGCGCGTGCGGGCCTCGGCGAGGTCCTTGTCGCCGCGCTCCTTGTCACGGCGCAGGGCCTGTGTCCGCGCATCGTGCTCCTTGTGCAGCGTCGTAAGCGTGGTGACCTTTTTCTCGAGGCTGTCGACCTTCTTGGTCAGCTCGTCGCGCTCGGTGCGCAGGTCCTCGGTCTCCTTCTCCAGGGTCTTGAGCTTGGTCTCGGCGCTCGTCCGGGCGCTGCCCTCGCGAACGGCCTTTTCCGATGTGCGGTCCAGGTTGCGCTTCAGCTCGGCCAGCTCGCGCTGGGCCGTGCCGGCAGCCTTCTCGGCACGCTCTAGCTTTTCCTCGAGCGCAGCAACCTGTTCTTGGCGGCTGCGCTTTGGCGCATGGCCGCCATTGTCACCGCCCTCTTCGTCGTCCTCTCTACCGGCGCCGCCCATCGACAACCGCTCGACCTGCGCACGTAGCCGCGACATTTCTAGCTCCATTGTCTCAATGGTCTGCGACTTTGACTTGAGCTGCGCCTCGAGCTCGGATGTTGGTGGAGAGTTCACGCTCATAGAGGGTGACGAGCCGTGGCGCGACCGGGCCTGGAGTTGGGTGTTTTGGCGCGTGAGGGCAGCGATCTCGGATTTCTGTATCGTGTTGTTAGTTCTGTGATCCAATACATGTAGATACAATTTCACGCTAGGATGGATGGCTGGGAGGGCTGACCAGTTTGGACACCTCGGATGAGTCGCCACCAGTGCTGTCGCGGATGTCCTCCAGGGCATCCTCGGCCTTTTGCCAGCGCTTCTCAGCATCGGCATTCTCCTTTGTCAGGCGCTTGTTTTGGCGCTCGAGCTCTTCAATGCGCGAAGCCTGCTTGCGATAGATGTCGGCCGCAGTCTCACCATCGGCGCCGGGGCTCAGGGGGCCACCATGGCGGAAGGATGCGGAGCGCAAACGCGACTGCTCGGACAGGGAGGGCAGCGCTCCTTTGGGCGAGGTAGGTTCGCCGACGACGTCATCTTCTTCGGCCTTGTCGTCGTTCTTTGTATCTTCCTTCTCTTTGTCAGCATCTTCATCGGCATTGTCCTCCTCGTCCTTGTCGTCCTTCTTGGCACCTTTCTTGCCCTTCTTCTTCTTGTCGCTTTTCCCTGCGGCCGTGTCTGTCTTGTCTGTCTTGTCTGTCTTGTCTGTCTTGTCTGTCTTGTCTGTCTTGTCTGTCTTGTCTGTCTTGTCTGTCTTGTCTGTCTTGTCTGTCTTGTCTGTCTTGTCGGACTTGTCAGTCTTGTCGGTCTTGTCGGTCTTGTCTGTGCCGTCCGCAGTCTCCTTCTTGGTTTCCTCCTTGGCCTCCGCAGCCTCTTCCTTCTCGTCGTCAGCGGTCGGCTCCTCGGCCTCCTCGTCCTCTACCGCCTTGGCATCGCTGGCTGCCTTGTCCTTCTTGGCACCCTTCTTCCCGGAGGTGCCAGCTGCACCAGCCGCACCACCGGCCTGCTTCTTCTTCTTGAGTGCCTCGACACGCTTCTTGGCCGCGGCAAGCTTCTCGGCCTTTGCCTTGTCGTCATCCGCCATCGTGAGCTATTGGAGGGCGGCAGCTGACTGGAGGCACACCCGCAATCGAGTCAATTCGCACCGTACGGCTAAGTAGAATATCGAAATACAGACGCTATTGAAAACAAAGTCGTGTCGTGATCGTGACCGTCTGTGTCGTACTCTGAGTGTCCCAATCTTCGTACAGGTGAGGATTGTGGAAGCAGTGCAACGATGTTTCGAGCTGGAGTTACGGAGTGGTGTATTGGCCATGGCTTCTAAACACGTCACTTAAAACGGGCTAGTAAGCCAGAGAGCTCCTTCTCAGCCCTTGCGTAGTTGTAGCGTGTAGCTCCTTCCCAGTGGTGGAAAGGCACGTGATTGTGGAGCCGACGGGTTAGCGCGTTCCTGGGCTCTACGTAAGATGCAAACTTATTCGGGTTGAGATTGCTCGTAAGCCCAAGCTTCAAATATATTAAGCACTGTACTTACACAACATGGCAAGCGACATGCAGAAAGACTGTCGCAAATTACAGCGGAAGTACTCAGGATCCTGGGTGGTGGATCTCCCTAGATTGCGAACCTACGGTAGCTGTTTTAGTGTGGCTTTTTGTTTTCCCCCGCCTCGTCCGCTCCTTCCATACCATTTCCTAGCGCTCTTGCCCCGCGAACAACATAAAAAAGTTGGCACCGAATTAAGCGCATTGAATACAAAGACGTTCCTTCCCCGGTTTGCGACAACCAAGAGCCCTTGAAAGAAAGAGCGCACCCTGAGCCTAGATAGCCATGAGGGAAGCCCTTTCCCAACAAAATCACAAGGGTACAAAAGAGTTGATCCCATATTCTGGGCGGTTTTCTCTCTCTCAATCCACAATCCATTGGATGTGCTCTTAACGACGTATCTTAAACTCCGCCAGCACGGCACTCAAAACGGACATACCCCAGAGGACGACAGACCGCAGACGCCACAACAAACGACAAAAGGACCAGGCATAAGCGCAATCCAGCCAAAAGGACAACCCCATTCTTGGATTTTCTCCCCTTACGATTCCTTTCCTCTGTTCTCCACCCCCATTTGGTCTCCTACCCTCTTCCGGACAATGGCTGCCCTGCCACGCCAGTTTCCGGACTTGGCCATCTACCTGACGGACCAGACCCGGACGCCCATTGTCTCGTCGGCCAGCGGATGGGGCCGAGACGAGGAAGACGACGATGAGGACGGCGCCGATGCCACTGTCAACGGAAATGAAAATGAAAATGCCACTGTCAATGCCAGTACATCGGACAGCGCCACAAAGCCCACCCGCCAGCAGCGGGCAGCGGCTCTGGACGACCTGGCGGCCACGGCGCTCCGCGCGCGGGATGCGGCCGCCCGACTGGGTCTCGGTGCCGACCTGCCGCAGGCCTCGGATGCAGGCGGGCTCGACGGCTCGACGGCGTCGCTGCTGGCCGCCCTGGGTCTGACGCCGCCTGAACACATGGTGGTCACGTACAGCACCGGCAGTGTGGTCATTGACAACTTTTTGGACCCGCGGCAGCAGCAGCAGCAGCGGCGGCGGCGGCGCCACGCCGCATCCGGACCATCTGGATCATCAACTGGGTCTTCACCAGGACAGGGACAGGAGGCGACGGTGAACCAAGTGGGAACCCATGGCCAAGGCGAAACGACTGACCTCGGCAGGGACAACGACGCCGAGGACGCGGCAGGCGGCCGTGCTCCGGTACTCGTGGGATTGGTTGTCGCACCGGATGCGCAGTCGCTCGGAGATGCGCGGCGGGCAACCGCTCGCTTAGAACGCGTGGGTCTGGCCGTGCAGCAAGAGTTGGCCGCACAGGACCGGAGGAGGCAATGATGGCAAAGCCAAAGGCCAAGGGGGATGAGGCCGTCCGACTTGCGGCTCCCTTCCTGTATATACAAGCTTAAAATGTACATATATATTCTTACGACAAAAGACAGGGCGAGGCATATCTCAGGCTCACAGCCCGATGCCCTCCACAATGGGTTTAGGTGTCGGGTTATTTGATAGACAAAAAAGCACCTGGCATCATATTTTTTTTTTTCACAGGGGGTCTATCTATGTGACTACTTTACTTGGTGTATATTACGAAAACAGCCGACAAGAAGAAATAAGGTCAAAATGAAATTGAAAACAAATAAAAAACATAAAAACCATAAAAACGTCGAAAGTCGAAAAACTCGGCATCAACTGCATAACACCAGGTGCCCTAAGCCGAGACCCGACAAAACCAGTCCGGATGGTTCTCATTTCGAACTTTTATTTTACCTCTTTCTCTGTTTTGCTCTAACAGCACTTAGATGAGCTGCTGGAAGGCGCGGTTGATGGGCGAGCGGATGTTGGGGACGTCCTTCCAGTAGTCGATGGTGGCGACGGCACGCTTGGAGATGCCCTCCGGGGTGAACTCGAATTTCTGTGATTGGTTAGTTTTTGTAGAAAATACAAGCAAAGGAGACAATACGTCTCCAGTAGTTCTGAACAGCAGCGCTGCTAGGTAACTCACCTTGTAGACATCCTTGTACGGGCCAGAGGCACCGAAGCGGTTCAGGCCGAACTGCTCGTGAGTGTAGCGCTCCCAGCCCATGGTGCTCATGACCTCGACGGACAGCGACGGGATGCCGTCGGGCAGGACGCTCAGGCGGTACTCCTTGGGCTGGGCATCGAAGACCTCGAAGCAGGGCAGGGAGACAACGCGGGCCTTGACGTTGTGGTTCTCGGCCAGGTACTTGACGGCCTCAACGCAGATGCCGACCTCGGAACCGGTCGAGACCAGGGTGATGTTGGCGCTCTTGTCCTCGTGGACAACGTAGCCGCCCTTGATGGCGTGCTCGATGGTCGAGTTCTCCAGCTGGGGCAGGTTCTGGCGAGACAGGGCCATGATGCTGGGGGTGTGCTTGGAGGTCAGAGCGACGTAGTAGGCAGCGCTCGTCTCGTTGCCGTCGGCCGGGCGCCACACCATGCAGTTGGGCAGGGCGCGGAAGTGAGCCAGAGTCTCGATCGGCTGGTGGGTCGGGCCGTCCTCACCCAGACCAATGGAGTCGTGGGTGGCGACCCAGATGACGCGGACCCGCGATAGGGCCGACAGGCGCACGGCGCCAGCACCGTACGAGACGAAGTTCAGGAAAGTACCGCCGTAGGGGATCTGGGTGCCGTAGGCAGCCAGGCCGTTCATGATGGCACCCATGCCGTGCTCACGGACACCGTAGCGGATGTAGCGACCAGAGTAGTCACCAAGGCCAGTCGAGGGGGGCTGGAAGTCAACCGCGCCCTTCCAGCGGGTCAAGTTGGAGCTCGTCAGATCGGCCGACCCACCGATGAGCTCGGGGATGATCTCCTCGATCTTGCTGAGGACAACCTCGGACAGCTTGCGCGAGGCAACGGCGGCGTCCGTCGGGGTGTAGACGGGCAGCTTCTTCTCCCAGCCCTCAGGCAGGTCGCCCTTCAGGCGGCGGGTCAGGTCGGCGTGCTCGGCGGGGTACTTCTCGGCGTACTTGGCGAACAGAGCGTTCCACTCGTTCTCCGCGGCGGCGCCCTCGGCGACCTTCTTGGCGGTCAGGTCGTAGACGGCCTGGGGGACAGCGAAGCTCTCGTCGGGGTTGAAGCCGAACTTCTCCTTGAGCTGCTTGATGTCGTCGGCCTTGAGGGGCGAGCCGTGGACACCGTGGGTGCCCTGCTGCAGGGAGCCGAAACCAATGATGGTGCGGAGCTTGATCAGGGTGGGCTTGTCCTTGACGGACTGGGCCTCCTTGATGGCGGAGTAGATGCCCTCAAGGTTGTGGTCGCCGTCAGCGACGACGATGACGTGCCAGCCGTAGGCCTCGTACCGCTTCACGACGTCTTCAGTGAAGGCGCAGTTGGTATCACCATCAATGGAGATGTGGTTGTCGTCGTAGACGGCAATCAGGTTGCCGAGCTGCAGGTGACCGGCGAGAGACGAGGCCTCGCTGGAAACACCCTCCATCAAGCAGCCATCACCCAGGAAGCAGTAGGTGTAGTTGTTGAACAGGTCGAAACCGTCACGGTTGAAAGTGGCGGCAGTGTGAGCCTGGGCAATGGCCAGGCCGACGGCGTTGCAGATACCCTGGCCGAGAGGACCGGTGGTGACCTCAATACCGGGGGTGTCATGGGACTCGGGATGGCCGGGGGTGATGCTGTCGACTGACTGTGAAATCGGTTAGACTGCTAAGCCGACAAACCAGTCGTCATTCCCTGGGACGAGCCACATGGAGCGGTTCAACTTACGCGGAAAGCCTTCAGGTCATCAATGGTCAGGCCGAAGCCATACAGGTGCAGCAGAGCATACTGGAGCATGCAGCCGTGGCCGTTCCTGTGCGTTTGTGGGTCAGCACGAAGCTCTCGTTGCTCGAGTTTGTCGCGCGACTAGATATGACGAAAAAGGGCATTGTCATGCTTACGAGAGGACGAAACGATCACGGTTCACCCAGTGGGGGTTCTTGGGGTTGAAGCGCATAATGTTGTTCCAGAGAACCTGGGCGACCGGCGCCATGCCCCTGTACAAACAATTGGTTAGCCATGTATGTCGCTGTTTTGTTTCTGTGGTTGTTTAGCAGCGACAATGCAACGATGCCCCGCGATGTGGCGAATTGAAGCCGCCAAGCGATGCACAGAGCATCTGCAGCTGCAGCTCGCGTATAGCACCAAACAAGTCGGCCGAAACGTGTGTGTGTTGATCGGCCGAACCAGAAGCTCTTCCAGGGCCGGCGGCCGGCGTAAATCAACTTACATCGGGGCACCGGGGTGGCCGGAGTTGGCGCGAGCGGTAGCATCAGCCTAGAGAGGAGAAGAAAACAGGTGTTAATGCAGCTGTTCAGATGAAAGACGACAATGATGATGATGATGTCATGTCGGCATAGGTCGGAGGGGTTGAGGGAAAGAGGAAGGCAAGTGTGTTGAGCAAGTGCGGTCAATCAACGGTCCACGGCCGAACGAGGACGTTGGAAGCTCATATTTCCTCTCAAACAGAGACGTGAAGCTTCTGAGGCTATGAGCGCGGTCGGCAAGCATTGAGGTCGGGATGAAAGATTGAGACGCGCCGTTTGAAAGTGGTGAGGGGGCGGGGCAAAGTGGTTTTTCGGGGAACTACTTACAGCCAGTACACGGATCGTGTTCACGGTCAGCTGGTCGACGTCGGTGAAACCCATGATGGCGGTTGTTTTGCAGAATGTCAATGGGGGTTATAGAAGAAGCGTGCGATGTTGGTTGGAGATGGGATGGAGGAAGAGAAAGGAGAAAAGAGACGGGGACAGAAAAAGGAAGAGAAAGAGAAAGACGAACGAGGAAAAAGGAAAGAGGGCAAGGAGGGACAAAAGAAAGCGGCAGGAAGACGAGACAAAGCCAAAAAACTTAAAACAGCAGGAAGGGACCCAAGCAAATAAAATAATAATAAAATGAAATAATTGGTTTTGCCTTCGTCCGTCCCTGGGTGGAAGGGGCGGATCTGGCAATGACGAGCAACCCAGTCGGGATGGAGGGGGGGTGCTGAGGGGAAAGAACCAGCGAGCGAAAACGCGCCTGGAGCAGGAAGCTACCACCCTACGCAATAGTAAGATACAGTCGCTTCCGTATCTGACGATGGTCAATAGGCTATTCACTGGTGCGAGGCAGGACCTGAGCGAGAGATACTTCCGTCGAGCCAAGCACCTAAACGTCCTGGACAAAAGGCGATGGCAACTGAACCATGGACAGGAAGCGTAGCAAAGCTCCATAATCGGTCGAAAACAAAGCTATGCTCAACAATACCCGGCGGATAATGTCGCTTCCTCCCCCACTAACGAAGCAGGACCGGAGATGTTGCGCTGGAGAGCTGGTGAAGAGGGGCAGGAAACTGAAATGCGCCGTCTGTCAAAGTGGAAACGCTCTGGTCCATAATGCCAACTCCATACCGAGCACCGAGCCCACCCCAACAAAGTGCTGGTCGTTGGTGGGGTGTTGTGGTGGACTGATATTAGTCACCTCTGTTCCACCTTTCTCGATCAGCACTTTATCCGGCCAAACCGTTTGCCTTTAGACTTGAAGGGCAGCGGGGATGTGAGGGAACAGCTTTATTTTTGTTTTGTTTCTCTTCTTCTGGCTCTCTCTCTCTCTTTCGTACATTTCTTTGATTTGTCTTGGTTTACTCCTTCCAGCACTCCCGAATTGGTCTGCCCACGTTTCCCATTGCCGTAGCCGGGGATCGTTCCTGCCCCCTGTCAGTGCCTGTCAGTTCCCTCCAAACTGCCCAATTTGTCGCCACTTACAAAGGCTGACTTAAAAGCCACGGAAGGCGCGATGTGCTAAGCATCGATTCGAGATATACGGACTCGGCAGCAACGCCGGCAGCAGGCGGTCTTTTTATTTCCTATCGCGCCTTTTCCGACCATTAACCACGTGCCTAGTCTGGGAGTGCTTGCCTCCAGGCACATGCGGAAGATGACGCGTTGTATGGTGTTGTTTGGTGCGTGCAAGGTGAGGGTAGGCTCACGTTGCCGTACTCCGTACTTCCGCGGTGCGAGCACAGTATTGATCTAACACACAACGTTGCACTTTTATGGTGGCAAATGGCGGCATGCAAGTAGACACGCAAGACACAGACATCGTACACAGGCCACCGTTTAGCAAGGAACGGCATAGGCGGGCACAGGGAGGGAGTGGCCAAGCCTGAACGGATGCCGGGGGAGGTGAGGAGAGGCGAGGCGTCTGAGGGTGTTGCATCGTGACCAGACGCTGTGCACCTCGGCGACCGGTCCTCAGTCAGCGGAGCTGATATGTGGCAGCCGTGCATGAAACTGTGTCTCGTCTCCTAGACCAAAGCTGGGGTTGGGGCTGAGGCTTTGGTGGAAGTCGAACATACGTGCAAAGTCGAATGGCCGAATCCTCACAAATAGCAGAATGCGAGCACACCCAGCGAGGAAAGCGCGCACCAAAAATTGCGAGGCATTGAACACGCATAAAAACTCTGCTATCCGCCTGCCAACGACGAGCATGGCATGCGGGATTGCACGTAATTGCCGCATTAGGTAGACCATTCAAACTACCAATGTCGGTTTGTCGCTGTTTCGGTTTGGAGGTCCTGTCATCGGACACCCCTGCGCGCCGAATTGGCCGCATACCGACCCGCGCGCAGGGACGGAAATAGAGGCCCTGGCGCACTGCAGCCAGGTCGTTTCCTTTCTCTCTGGCACTTGCTCAAATGCTACCACGCGATTGGCGGGAAAGGCTAGCCTTCCCTGGTGGAGAGGCCATTTCCTTTCACCAAATGTCTCAATGAATACTTCTGTATTGAGGGCGCCTGCCGGTTTAGGAGGAAAAGCTTGTTCGTGGGATGCCCAGAATAGACATCCCGGCTCGGGGAGAGGCGGCAACGGAGGGAAGGCGCGACTCTCACTCACGACACACCGTTTCTCTAAATATCGGATAAAACAATACTGTGATGCGAATACCGTGATTCCATGTTTTTGAATTTAATAAGCAGCAAGCAGCCCCCAAAGAAATTTGTATTCTTTATTTTTTTGCGTTTTTTCTTTTTTTTTTTTTTTTTTTTTTTTTTTTTTTTTTTTTTTTTTTTTTTTTTTTTTTTTTTTTTGGAAATGAAACACATGCCGTGTAATCTGCCAACAGACCTACGTAGTGAGTTGCTGATGCGGCTTCAGGGGAACGCTTTGTGCCTTGTGCACTAAAAATCGCATTACCTAATCGTTCATCCCACTGCCCCAAAAAATCGCTGTAGCCTCGTCTCGTCTCATCTAATAATATGTTGTATATACAAACTGATACCACAACAGCCTCCTTCGCTTTAACAAGCCTGTTGTTTGTCCTGTTCCTTGCATAGCGTCTCCAAGACGGCCATGCTGTATGCATCACCGAATAAGACAAAGAAAATGCCCAGGCTGCGCGGAACCAATTCGGCGGGCAGCTCCAAAAACTCCAAACTCGCTGCCCACAAACCGCCGAATCTGAAGACGGGAGCCAAAGCTTTTGCGGCAAGCGCTGCTACCCAGGCTGCTGCCGCTGGAGCTGCCAAAAAGCCGTCGGCAGGCTATCAGCAAAAGACGCTCTCACACAGCCTCCAGCAGGATCTACTGGACGTGTTTCGGCGAGCGCTTGCGCCCGCTCTGGCCTCACCCCGTCTCAACGAGGCGCTGCAGGCCGTGAAGCAAGCCTTGTTCGAACGAGACTTTGCAGGCGCTTTTGGTACTGTCGACGATGGGGGGTCAAAGAAAGATGAGCCTCCCGGCACCCAGACCGACGAGGATGTCGACGGCAGCATTAAAAAGGAAGGCAAGAGCGTCACGTTTGCCGTCGCTTCGCCAACGTCCGAGGCCATTCCACCGCCGCTCGATGCCTATGCTGCGCGCTGGAGTCCGACACGCGCCCTTTGCTATGCATCGATCCTCTGCAGTCCCGTGGTCCAAGAGCATTGGAGCGCCGCTTCGGGTTCTGGAACGGAAACGGAAACAGAAACGGAAACGGAAACCAAACCAGCCCTTCGCATGGTCGCCATCGGCGGTGGTGCTGCTGAGATTGTGGCGTTCGGTGCCATGTTGACAAGTGGCGAGGCGGGAGCCGATGCGGCCGGTGATCTCGTTCTTGTCGACTCGGGGCCGTGGGCGAGTGTCGTTGGCCGGTTGCGTTCCTCCATGGTCGAAGCTCGCTCCGACGGCCGCGTGCCTGCTTTGGTCGAGCCTGCAAATCGATTCAACGTCGACGTTCGCTGGCGGGACATTCTCAAGGTGGACGATGAAGAAATGGGCAAGATGATCGGCGGGAGCGCAGCCGATAAAGTGACCACCCTGATCACCTTGTTCTTCACGCTGAACGAACTCTTCACGGCCGGTGGCCTCGGTGCTGCCGCCACCTTCTTGCTGCGGCTCACAGCTGCCGCGCCACCAGGAACCGCTCTGCTTGTTGTCGATAGCCCCGGCAGCTATGCGGAGATGGCCGTTGGATCGCAGGCCAGAAAGTACCCCATGCGGTGGCTTCTGGACAAGTTCCTGCTGCAAGACGCCGAGGGATGGGACAAAGTGCATGAAGACGAGGCCACCTGGTTTCGACTGTCGGCGTCGCTGTCCTATCCTATCCGTCTCGAGGACATGCGTTATCAAATGCACCTCTACGTGCGAAAATGAAGCGCCGTTTCCAATTGCAAAAGATGCACCGAGTATGGCAACGAATGGCAACGAGCATCCAAAATAAGGGTAACCAGAAATTATTACCCTGCGTATATTCTTTCGCGAATGGTTAATGTATTATGCCCACACTAGCTTCTTCAACGAGTGGCCTAGGTGCCCCAGCAATCCTGTGCTCTTCCGTGCCTCGGCAAGAGATACAATGTCGCCCTTGGCGATAATCGACTTGCGCTCCACGCCCACCGGAACAGGCCGGCTCAGTTGCACAAGCCGCTCAATTTCAGTCGCAATTGAGACGATCTGATCTTTCTCTGTTCTCTTGACCATTGTCTCGCCGGCCGATGCCGTCGCTGATGGTGCCAGGGACGATTCAGAATAGAGAGCCTTGAAGGCTAGGCGTTTCACAGGGGGTGACGAGGGGCGAATATTCAAAAGCATGGCGATGCTCGTCGACAGCGCCTCGGCAGCCGAAGTTGATTGTTCCGCTGTGTTGCCTGCAGTGCCGTCCCCGACGTGCATGCTCGACAACGATCGCGTGTTGATCCTCCTTATATCGTCTCTTCCGGGCCTGTACCACACCATAAACCCGACGTTGCGCTCTTCGTCCATTTGCATGGGCGATACCGTCGACACGATATAAGTGCCGATGGTGATCTTGTCGATATGGCTGAGCTCGACTCGTTCAAACGACGACAACTTGTCGAGGTTCCAGTCGAAGCGGCACAAATACAAGGCCGCGTCTGTCACGAGCAGCACAACTTCTTCAAAAGGTGGCGTCGTCAGACTGATGTCGGCGTCGTACGGTGCAATCAGCGTCCACCCTCCGATAAACTCCTCGGACTCATCGGCAACGACTCGCCGCTGGCACAGATCGACGGCCTGTTCGCGCATCTTTTGCATCGACATGGCCGGATCCTTTGTCCGCATGTTGGCTTCAAACTCGTCGAAGATCTTGTCTGTCACATTGCCGAGCAAGAAATCGATTGTAGTCTGCAAGAAAAAGTCATTGACGATCCTGTCATGGCCCAGTGTTAGCAATTATCATAAAGAACTTTAACAGCCTGAAAACACGGCACGGCCATGAATATACATACCCGTTGAAAAAGCGTGTTAGTGACAGACCAGCATCTGTAAGGGCACCGCGGTAATCTCGCTTTCTCGTCCGCGTGTAGTCGCCTTTCATTGCCGCAGTTGAGGCATACTGTTTAGATATCGCGTCCCCGTTGTCTGCCCACAAAGTGTTGAACCACGAGTTCTCTTGGTCACGCTGCGCCGCCATATCGAACCCTTGCTCTTTCAGCTGCGCGTCTAGCATGAACTTGGCAAATGAGCTTTGGCAGACATTCGTCCGGTCGAGGCAGTCCATACAGTTGGTGCGAAGCACGCCCTTTTGTCTCTGCACGAGATTCCCGGGGCCGTAGCTTCCGGTGCTACTCGCCAAGGTACCTGCTGGGCTGCTAGTGCCGTCGGCCTCGGTGTTGTCTGCTCCGGTCTCCTCCACCGCGCTCCCCATTTCCTCGATTTTGTTGCTCAAGCGGCCCAGGAGCAAAGACACATTCTCAAACTTCATGCCCTTGCACGCACTGTGGAAGTCAAACCATTCAAATGGTAACGTCGACTCTCCAGGTGCGCTGTTTGTATCGTCATTGTACCTCTGCACGCTCCTCTCAAACTGCGTACCCAGGGCAGACTCGACGCCGTGCTTCTCAACCAGGTTGACAACTTGCAGGCTACCGTATTCTCTCCGGAGGCCGTCAAAATGATTTTTCAGTGCACCGTAGTTGAGTTCGAGGGAGTGCTGGATGACGGGAACAGGCTTCAAAAAGAAGGGTGATTGTGTCCAAAACAGAGGGATGCTGCCTCGGACTTGAACAAAAGAGTACGTTTTGCTCAAAGGTGGTGCCGGAAGTAGCTGCGACTCGACCATTTGGTTCACGACAGAGGGGGATAGAATCTGCTCTGTTTCAACAGCATTGGCGACGTTTCCGTCCTCATCCACACCACGGCGCAAGTATCGAAGACCTGCTCGTCTCACTGACCTGCGTGAGATCAGTGTCACATCAAATTCCTTCTCCGAAGCGCGGCGTTCAACCTCGGCAGACGAACGTGAACTCGTGGCTTGCAGAGGCGACGAAGGTCCCGTGCTAGCCCGGTACGCAAAATTGCTCAGCTCGACGGAATCCTTGGCGATCTCATCCACCTGTGGCGGATTGCTGTCAACGACAAACGAGCGCTGGCCAACAAAACCCTGCATGAGTGGTAGGGAAAGAGCATCCGCACCGGCATCGATAAAGGGCTGGATGGCATGTCGGTTCCAAAAATACATCGTGTCCACCAGCTTGTGCAGAGGAAGGTCGTTCCACCGCGTTTTCGGCTGCTTGGCGACGCTGCGCGTGATGTCGTAGTCGTAGGAAAAATAAAACGATCTCGACGCCCCAAAGAGCATCTGCGTTGTCCGCAGTAACTTCGGCAAAAGACTGGTGACTGCGCTATCCTCTGCATTGTTGTGGTCTCCCGGCTGTAACGGTGGGGTTGAGGTTGCCGTTTCCGTCACTGTTTCATCTGCAGTGCGCGAGAGGCTAGCCGGGTCTCCATCCGATGGTTCAGCCGGAGCGTTGCTGGGTGGTGACGAGTCGGAAGATGTCGCCGCATCTAGAGCTTTGTCGCCCGGTGTGTCGGTCGTAGCAGTGCGCTCAGCCACTGCCTCTTCATCGACAGGTTTGTTGCTCGCTGTCAAACCCATCAGCCGTTTCTGCTCCTGTAGCCATCCGCTCCGGCTGAACCATCTTTGCGCAAACCGGCCATAACTTCCTCTCCGGGAAATGACATCCTCCGCAATGCTGTTGCTGGGCTTGTGGCCTTTGACCGGTAGCGTCGGCGCTGTGTTTATGTTTGCTTTTCCGGCTTCGCCCTCGAAACCATGGCTATCGTTCATCTCCTGAACCCAAACTGCACCTTCGATGTCTTCGTCGTCGCCATGGTGGCTGTTGTTGTCACTGTCGTTCCCGCTGCCTTCTTCATCTGTGATGTAGCTTGGGGGACGTTCTTTTAGGTGTTCAATAGTGGTTTCTATCGAACGTCGAGCTTCGCCGTAACTTGCGCATGGGGTCAAGGCAACCTCAGTCACCACATATATTGGGCTACCACGGACTGTTGCAACCTGCTGCCGCTTGGTTATGGAAACGAGGTAGCTGAATTTGGAAACGAGAATCAGGCCTAGAAAAAAGCTTGTCAATATACTGCATGTACCCCACGGATAAAAGACCATATGAATTAATAAACCTACCTACAATGCCAAAAGCTTCAAAGCTCGGGGTTGGCTTGGTAGCCTCGGCTGCGAGATCTCGAGAGGTCGTAGAGAGCGCAGCATCGCCGTATCGAATATTGACAGACAGAGCCATTCGCTGGTCTTTTTTGGACGAAAGAGGATGCAGAATGAGGCCGTCAACTGTGGCGCAGACCAGGACCTTCCGCGCGAGGCCGGGCATTGTGGCAAGAGGGTAGCCGTACCCTGCCCAGACGGACTGATGTTAAAATGGCGGTGCTGCGTCGGGCGGCTAACTCCACATTGGCGATACCAGCTGCGCTTCTACATTCAAAGATGCGGTGGCAATTGTAGGGGATGAGAATGTAAACGAGGGTAAGAGATTGCGGGGCTGGGAAGTCTATAAGGAGCCCAATCCTACTCGAACACTGTCAGCTCGGAAATGGTAGGAGCGAAGGGCAGCTCCGAACAATATGATGAGGTCAGGAGCGCGATGTCGGTCGCTGTTTCTATTTACGTTGAGCCTGCCGCGGTGTCTCGGCTAGCGGGGCTCGCAGCAGGTACCACGGCGGTCAAGGGCCTGTGAGCACCCCTAGAATGCAGCGTAGCGCCACCTACCCAGTGGCCAAGATTCACTATTGTGACGTAGTAATTACTGTGCACCACCAGTTGGAAACATGACGATTGCTCCTTCTAAACTTATACGCTTTCGTACTTGCAAATAAAGTCTGAGCACATTATTACCTCTTTCCGGCAAAGATCATTCACAAAGCACGAAGGAAGGAGCATGAGCTGCGTAAATCTAAATCCTCTTATTGTCGGCGTCGCCCTACTTTGTTGGCACACTTCCTCGATCGGAAACTTAAGGCTAATGCTTAAACAATGAGACATAGGTGCCACGCGCAGTGGACTGATCACCCACGTGTACTTCTGATGGTCAAGTGCTTTGGTTGCATTACAGCGTACTGAAATATAAGTGGATCCCTGTTATACTCCGTATCTTGCTTCGCGCAACTCAGGCAGCAGCGGACTGCGAAATAGTTTATCCGCCTGTCCTGGCAGGAGACTAGCTGCCAGTCGCTCGCTCGCTCCCTTTTCCCCAATCGACGACTCAAAGTGGAAAACACCTCGCCAACCGAAAAGCCTCGTTTTTGGCTTCTTCTCCTCCATCTCCCGTCTTGCATTTGCACTCTGCATCGCTTCATCGCCAACACACCACCGCCATCCACTCCGCCATCAACCACCACTCTCCAGCTCATTTCTGGACCGCTTCGACAGCTTCAGTCGCCTTTCTTTAGATATTTCCTGCCACCCATCTCGAGTCGCGCCCTTGCTTCGAACCCGCTCCTTCAGCACTCCTTTTCAGCTGTTCCCCCTACCAAACCTATTCTCTCTCTCAACTCACAACCGCCATCATGTCTAGTGATCTGTGGTATGTCTTTGTCTTCTTTTACTCGATGGAATTTCACGTGTCGGGAAGCTCGAGGGGCCGGGGACGCGTGGCTGCTGAAGCTAAAGCTGAAGCTACCCTAAACCCACGATCCGGATAGCTTCGGCGCGTGCTTTTCCTACCTTCAGATAGCTGTCGTGAGCCGCATCCATCAAGACTAACACTTCCTCCCCTCGCTTTCTAGTCCCGTCTACGCGGTTAGTTATTCCTTATACTCCATACCTTCGATTTGTCGCCCACCGACATTCGCGCCCGCGTTATTCCGTGCTACCTCCCGGTCACGAATGCCAAACCATAACCATTCAGCCATGCAGTCGCGACGATCCTTATCTGAGAACCACATACACGACTCTTTGATAAATCCTTTGCATTATGGCTAACATGTTCTATCTCGGATATAGCCCTTCTTCGGTGCCATGGGCTGCACAGCGGCTATCGTCTTCACCTGCCTGGGCGCCTCGTACGGTACTGCCAAGTCTGGTGTCGGTATTGCCGCCATGGGTGTCCTGCGCCCTGACCTGATCGTCAAGAGTGAGCTGCCTCTCGCTGCCGAACCTGTACCGTTTCCATCTGCCGTTCTCTGTGAGGCTGACTAACGCTCGTCTTTCTCAGACATTGTGCCCGTCATTATGGCTGGTATTATCGGTATCTACGGACTCGTCGTGTCCGTCCTGATTTCCGACAACCTGAAGCAGGACCAGTACGCCCTGTACACTGGTTTCATCCAGCTCGGTGCTGGTCTGGCCGTCGGTCTGGCCGGTCTGGCAGCCGGTTTCGCCATCGGTATTGTCGGTGACGCTGGTGTGCGCGGCACTGCCCAGCAGCCGAGATTGTTCGTCGGCATGATTCTGATTCTCATTTTCGCCGAGGTTCTGGGTCTGTACGGCCTGATTGTGGCCCTTCTGATGAACTCCAAGGCGTCGCTCAACGTCGTCTGCTAAGCTCGTTTCGCTACCTTTCCGACAACATTCCGCGTTGCCAGGTGGGGTGTAAGAGCTGCAATCTGGCATCGTTCGCGCACTGGCGTCGAGCACGAAACGTTGGGAGAGACGATAGGAGAAGAGCCGGTTTTGCCACCGTCGAGCTCCGACGACGAGCACGAGCGTTGAGTCAGAAAATCTTTGCATATGTACGGATCGAGGAGACGGAATGATGAGTGTGCGGTTACTATAATACTGCTTTACGGCCATGCTCACCCCCCACGACGGATGCGATTGGAAACAACGATGCGATCGGATTTTCTTGTGAGGAGAAGGGAAACCTGGTTCCAATCCGTTGTTTGCTTTTCGGGAACAGTAATTTCGGATACGAAAGACGGTTCGGACCGAAATGGTTTTTTGTTTTGTTTTTGTTCATTTTGCCCTTGACCAAATCTATTTTGTCTTGCACTGGAGGTACCAGAAAGGACTGCTGGGCAAAACATGTACTATTGTCGCATTACACTGCTTATTCCTTTGCATTTACACCTCTTATTTACCTTGTCGCTTTTTACATAATTATTTGCCTGGAATATTATTAGACATTAAGTGTGCCTTGGCTTTTCAATGTGACGTGAATTGACACTCTGGAGTATTTCATGCACAATAACACAACGATTTGTTCGTTTACTCTTTAACGAATATTAAAAATTGTATTACTTGGTTTATGCTTTGCTGAGAAGCCGCTTGTTTCTTCCATCTTCTGTACTGAGACGAGTAGCCCGACTATGTATTTCTAGAAATCCCAAAATGCGATGAGCAAAACAAAAGGAAATATAACGCATAGGAAACAGAGATACTACAAAACGTATGTTCTAATGTTATATACAAGAAAGCGAATATTGGCAAAAAATAAACAAAGCACAATAGCGAGCGTAGTAGCGTAGGAGCGTGAGATGAAAGGTAGAAGCGCGTCCACACATTGCAAATTTGTATCGTTTAAAACGTTGCTAACGTTCGAAAGTAGGTTAGGCGTATATAACCGCTATTGCAACACGACATGGCATTTTGTCTTTTTTCAGAGACTAGATGACGTACTGTACAAAAGGCGGTTAGTACGTGGGAATAAGGGGCGACACTCGTAGAACAACGTAAAACTTACAGGAATAAATAGGTACGGGACGCGCTTCTCGTACTCGGTCCAGGCATCGCCGTACTTGAGACGGCACCGCTGGATGTCACGGAGGGCACGGTGCGAGATCATGAGGCAGAAGAAGACGGGGTAGAACCACGGGAACGGGCTCTTGAAGCCACAGATCAGGCCCCACGAGACGGCAAAGAAGACATCACACGTGTAGTGCAGCTTGCGGGCCAGACCATACCAGCCGTCGGCCAGAATGTCGTCGCCCGTGTTCGTCTTGATGGTCTTGGGGTTCTTGAGCGTCTGCCACGGCACCTGGGGGAACGTGCGGCGGACGACGAGCGTACCGCGCTCGGCAGAGCGGAAGCGGTTCTTCTGGCTGTTGCAGCTGTCCCAGACCCAGTAGACGAAGAGGTACGATATGTACAGAACGACGAGGGCGGGCTTGCTCCACTGGTACTCGGATGGCTCGTGGTTGGCAATGTACAGGGTGCAGTGGCAGTAGGAGAGCGGCACACCAGCGAGGTTCCAGAAGATGAGCATGAAACCCCACTTCTCGTAGTACATGTCCCAGGTCGTGATGATGAGCTCCTCGCCCTTGGAGCAGGCATTGGCGTAGAGGAAGTGGGCCATGACGAGGAAGCCTATCTCGCCAGTAATGTAGCCGTAGTTCTCGAGCTGGCGTGCAGCGACACCGCACGACAGCAGGAACAGGATGTACCAGGGCAGGCGTACCTCAAAGAACATCTTGAAGTCGAGGATGCCGAACATGCGGGGGTTGAGCTCAGCACCCATGAAGAAGTCGTAGAGAGGCGCACCGGTCATGCGGTGCTGGGCGCCACGGATCAGAGCCGAGAAGTACGCAACAATGCTGACCAGGAAGCCAGAGATGATAGCAACGCTCAAAAGAGGGCCAAACTCGTCAATAAGCGTGTACAGCGGGAAGAGACCAGAGACGTGCAGGGCAAACGCAATGGCAATGGTTGCGTAGAAGCTGGTGTAGGCCGAGCAGTAGTAGGGCAGCTGCTTGCCGTTGAGGTGCGGCAGCGGCTTACCGTAGCCCCAGATGCCGGGCATGAGGCAGTAGCAGAAGCCCTCAAAGATGAGGAACGTCCAGTACATGGCCCAGGCCTTGAGCGAGGGGAAGGCACCAGTGTACATCAGGTCGATCAGATGGCGCGCAAAGTCCTCCATCGACTCGTCCTCGGCCGGCAGGGGAAGCTTGCCGTTGTAGTACGTGGCGCCAATCCACATGTACCACATCAGCAAGGGGAAGCAGATCATCATGGCAGACACGCCCAGGGAGCCACCAAACTCCTTGTGCGTGGAGTAGTCGACGCGGTGATCAGCGCTGGGCTTCCAGCCATCGACGGCGTGCTCCGTCTTGATCATGGGTTCGGCGTCGGTGGCCTTGCCATTGATCGCCATGGGGCGGCCGTTGGTCTTGGACGGCGCCATGGCGGGCTTCGATTCGCGGCTGGAGGCGAAGCCGTTCGTCTTTCCGTTCAAATCGCCGTTCTGGTGCTCGATCGCGTCCTTGCCGTGACCGGCCGCGTCGGTCTCGTCGATGTGCTCAACAAACTTGGGAGAACGGTGGCGGGCAGCAGCAGACGTGGACGACTTGGCGGTGCTTTCGGCGGTGCTTTCGGCGGCAGAGTTGGAGTCGGCCTCGGCGTCGGAGTCCTCGACGGGGAAGAGAGATTTGCGGGATCGTGAGCGCGTCGCCGGTGTCTCGACCATGCCACTGAAGAGCTCCTTTTTCCTATGGAGGAGGGCGTCAATGCGTGCCTTGTGTTAGCCAGCTGGAATTGTCGCGCGAAGTAAACAACAATGGGGGTTCAGGGTGAACGCACCTAGGTGTTTGCCGGAGGGAGTATCTTGTCGACATTGTTTCTGAGAAGCAGGCTACGCCCCCTTTAAATATAAGATTATGGTGAAATAGAGACCGCCGTCGATTGGGTTTCCCCCCTGGCCAGCCAAATCGCAAAATAGGAAAGAGCGTCCCCTGAAAGCAAGAAACCCCAAAAAAAGAAAAGAATAGGACAAAATGAGGGATAAGAACGGAATGCGGGCACGAAGACGAACGAAAAGAAAGGGAAAGTGCGACGGAGGATTTTGGAAAGAAACAAAGCCTAGGCTATTCCGTTCGAATTAGAGAAGTAGCGATGGGGAATGGACGGGGAAATAGGGGTTTGTTGGCCTTTCGGTGACGCTTGCTACTGGCACTTACCGGGCAATAGTGCTAAACTTTTAACACAAAAAGTGCAGCGGGGGCTTTGTGCGGCAGAAAATAAAATAAATTGACAAAATCGAGCAAAATTAGGGAACAATTATTGTTTACTTTTTTCTACAAACAGTGGTGACCCCAAAATCTCAAATAATTTACCAACGGACGCCCAGACACCCTAAACCGTACTCGTACTCGGGAAAACGAAAATACAACGCATTCGTACCCGGAAACTTGCCGCCAACTTCCCCTGTAGCGGATCATGGGCTATTAATGTCACGTGCGTATCGGTACCCGTGCTGACTAATTGTAATTGGCCAATCAGGCGGAACACATCGACGCAGGCACCAAAGTAGGAAGGAGGGGAGCTTTGAAGCTCTGCATTCTCGGGCAACAGCATCACCAGCAAAACACAAAATGAAATAAAACGCCCCATTATGCACACTGTTTGACACACAGCAAGGCACGGAAGCAATAGGTTGCAAACTTGTCCCCACAAAAACCAGAAACGCGAGACACACGAGCCGTCCTTGTATCATTTGAGACCATACGCAAGCTACCTTCATCATGGTGCCCCAAGCAACGGCCTCGTTGCCGACTACGCTTCGATCGCCGCCGGCGCTGGATTCCTATACACCGTTGGCCGACCATGAGTCCCGCACGCCAGCTTCTTTTTACGAGGGTCCTCCAGTGCTTCACTACCACACGACGGGTGCTCGTGCTTATGTGAGCAGAGAGAACCGCGACAAGCTACCCTGGGGAGGCAACGAGACAACGGCGGCAGCTGCCAACGACGAGTCTTGGCCCGTCATGGGTGATGGAATGGTCGAGCAGGTTGTCGATGTGTTTGTCGGATCGGAGTGAGTTTTCTTTTTCTTTCTTTTTGCGGGGACTGTGTGAATACTATGCCCACTTACTTACACATGTAGTACTCTCACACTTTATAGCTCGGCTGCGAGCTGCGGCCTGTCTCTGCCGTACCCGGTCATTGGCCTGCACGCCATTAAGTCTGCATATACAGCGGACAACCGCCGAGTGCCGACGATCTACATGCAGCTAGAGCTCTCAGGAACCGGCGGCGAGGAGGACGAGCCCGAGACGGTCGAGTTGACTGTAGTACCGGCCGGAGCACAAGCCACTGCTGCTACTGCTGCTTCTTCGTTTTTTACAGACCAGCCATCAGCCGGTGAGGCAGAACGACAAGAGGCGCCACAGCCACCACAGGCCGACTCAGAGGCGTCCAAGATGTTCGATGCCATCTCCGCTTGTGCAGACCTGCATCCGGACCGGTTTGGAGGCGAAGACGACGAGGACGATGGTGGCGATAGCTACCCGTCATTTTTCCGACAGGGCGGCGAGAATGGCGACGGCGAAGACGGCTACGAGGACGAGTACGACGAGGATGGAGACGGCGAGGGCGATGACGGTATCCTGATTGAGGGCGGTGACGGCATGGAGCCCATCGAGGGATTCCACGGCGTGTTTCGTGGAGGCAACAGCCAGGACGGCGCTGTCTCAACCATCTCCGATCTTCCCCCACCCATGCCGGGCAGCGGCGGCTGGATCACGGCTGAGAATGCGCACGAGTTCTTTGACGAGGAGGGTAACTGGCGGGGGCGTGGCGGCAGCCTGGGCGAGGGTGCCGGCCGTGTGCGGGGACGCGACGAGGTCGAGGCTGGTGAGGCAACAGAGACTACCGCAACAGAAGAGGTTGCGGGAGGCGCGGTAGAGTCCACGCCGGCCGAGGGTGCGTTGGGTGACGGGGGGAGTGCCTCAGTTGGCGACACGAATGGAGCGAGCAACGGCGACGGCACCGAGAGCAAACGGATTCGGACGGAGTAGCAGAATCGAAAAATCTCATAATGTTTGGAGCACGTATCTGGGTGTCCCTGGTTGCGGTGTTTTGGCAGGTAATTAACAAGGAAATAAAAGGTGAATGCATACAGTGCTAGAGATTGGATATACATCAGACAGAAGCATAATGCTCGTTGAGCGTGGCATAGATACCATATTTGACGCGTTTCCCACGTAAATTCCGCTTTCGACAATATAGATACAGTCCCAAAGGAATCAAAATATATGATGTGAAACGCCATTGTCCACTGGTTCCATAATCAATTCAAAAAACATGACATCGTACAGTTTGGAGCTTTTGCCGTCAAGTCCTTGCTGGCCCGCCGAAATCGTCTTCTTCAATAAGCTCGCCAAAAATGAGGCTCTGTATCAGGCGCTCGACGCCCAACGTCTTCACCGGCGACGCGCCACGGTCTATGTCGTCGCCAGAGGGCGGACGCTTGCGCTTCTTGGCAGCAGGCCGGATGCGGTCCCCAAAGAGCCCGGCAACCTCTTTCTCCTGGCCTGTGTACACCCAGTCAAAGGGGCGCCCTGCGTCTTCCATTGCCTTGAGGTGTTCGCGGGCCTCTTGGACACTTTGCGCGTGCGACAGCTGGGCGCCGAGAACGTGCGCCAAGAACGTCGTCTCCTTCGACGCCCTGCCGGGCACGAACAAGATGGCCAGGCCGTCCAAGAGCAGTTTTCGCCTTTTCACGACATCGGCAAGGCGCACAGCAGCCGCATCGTATGGTGCCAGGTTCCGAGACCGAACGACACCGCCTAGGTAGGCCGATTCGCCGGCGCACAACAGGTACGGGGCCCAGTCGACAATCTCGCCGCGGTCCAAGCAGGCCGTCACCCAGCGCGGCGCAAGGCAAGGGAGGCCCAGTGCGAGGGCTTGCAAGTATTTCGCCTTGCGCGAATGGCCGTCGACGATCAAGGCTGTGAAACCGCTGTCGGCCGCACTTGGTAGAAGCTGCAGCTCGTCGCTGCTGCCCTTGCTGACTGTGTCGAGGGTGGCCCGTGAGCGCGACGAAGTGCTAATCGAGCTGGTGCCGGCCGCTGTCGGGGGAGGCTGGAAAATGTCTTCAAATCCGTCAGGCAGGATGCGCCCGCCTGCTTGCTGAATGCGGCCTTCGAGGCTCTTCTTTTTGTGCTTCGCCGATTCGGTACTGGCTTCATCGTGGCTCTTGGACTGGAAAGAGACAGCAAACACCATACCGGTAAAGAGGCCTGGTGCTGCTGGCGCCTCGACGCGGAGATTCGTCGGTGCTACGGTGGTTGGTTTTATACCCGTGGATCTCATAGACCTTCGGCTGGAACGCGTGCCACGGTCGGGCGCTGTCAGAAGGGCAGGCGACGCAGACAGCTCGTCTGTCGAGCCGGATCGTGCAGGGGACGGCTCTGGCTTGATGGCCCTGGATGTACTAGAGGAGCCCCGGCCGAGCCGTGGCATCATATTGGGAAGAAATATGGGCGGTGAGTCGCCGCGTGCCCGTCGCCGTTGTGGTAAGAGTGGCAAATCATCATCGTCTTCGCTGCGGCTCCCGCTTGTCGCAGCAGGCGTGTGACGTCTCTTGGTAGACCCCCGGGCTGATAGATCGCTGTCGTTGGCCGTGATGGGCGTCCCTTCCCTCGATACTTGTGTGGGTGTGACAGACAAATCACTGAGACTAGAGGTCGACCGGTCCATCGATGAGACGGAGGCTGCCAACGATGCACGGCCGCTGCTGTGGCCGCTGCTTCGCCCCTCATTCTCGGTCTTATACCGGGCTTTTTTCCTTTGTGGTGGCCGATTGCTACGAGCAGGTGGTGTCGGAACGGGCGGAGACGATGTAGCCAATTCGGCTTTCAGATCGTGGCGGGCAGCCTGCTTAAGCAACGACACCACTTCTTCCGCTTCTTCATGTCGCCTGTCTCGTTGTTCATATGCCGGTGAAGACGACATGTCTTGTTTCTGATAAGGCAAGGCAGGCTCGGGCATACTCGATGCAGGCACCACCGCGGCTTCAGCCGCATCGGACGTCAACAGAACGATTTCTCGGCTGGCCGTCTGCCCACTGGCCGAGACAGCCACCGGCCATTTGCCAGCAGGGCTCGTCTCAGGGATGGCGTCGGTCTCATTCAGACTGCTCTTTAAATGTAGACCCGTCGTATTCTGGCCGGCAAGAGGAAATTCGGGCAATGCTGCCGAAGACGATGGAGTTTTGGTGGCCGGTAAAATCTCCAGAGTGGGTCGGTCGATCAACGATTGTGGAAAGCTAGTATCATCATATGCCTCGCTCGACCGTGGCCCCGGTGGAGAAGGTGCTGCTGCCGTTGCCTTTGCAGCAGTGCCAGACGTCAGCGGCGCCTGGGGGACTGGAGGATCGCTCTCCGGGTATACCGCAAGTCCGCGGGGGCTAGATTGCTGGCCGCCTTGTGACCGTGGCCGAGCGTCCTTCTTTACGGACGCAGGCACTTCGACGATATCGCCGCGAAATGTCGGGCCAGACATGCTGACCGTCGCCAGGATCCTCGTGGCCGCCTCCTTTTTCTGGCGAACAATGCGTTGCCGTCTTACATCGTCCGACTCGTCGTCGGAGCTCGACGACGCATATCCTCCAGCACGCTCGGGCCGAGCCTCGGCAGCCTCTCGCCGCTCCTGAGACTTCCTCATGGACTCGTATTCTGTGATGGGGGCGGGAGTTCGCCTCCTGCGCGTGGTCGGGCTCGACTGCGGCGCACCTTTGGTCGGGCTACCAGCCACCTTGTTCGGGTATGGCGTGGTGCCATCGAAGCGAGAGGTGGATGACGTGGACAGCGTGTGGAACAGGACTGCGGGCATGGGCGTCTGCTCGCCAAGGTTAGAGAAGCGGAGTTTGGTCGGCGAGGAGAGGCCGGTATGAGGCGTTGTCGTCGTCGTCGCCGCCGGTTGCTGGATGAGCCCGGCCGGTGACGGTCGAGATGATGTCGGGCTGACCTGGTTGAGCGCGGCCGAAAAGGGTGTTGCCGCAAAAAGCTGAGACCCGGCCACAAGCGGCGTCTGGAACTTGCCTGCAAACGGGTTTTTGGGCTGCGCAGGCGTCTCTAAGCCGAAGTCGATTGCCGTTGTTGTGGTGGCCGGCTGGTCGTTGTCCGAGTTCGGGAAGAAACGTGACAGGCTGTTGTTTCGCCTCCGGCCATCGACGTGATCGGTCGTTGGCGACTCAAAGTCTAGCTCCATGGAGCGAATCGATCCAAACTTGACAGCACCGCTCTCGTTCTCGTCCAACGAGCGGTCCAAAAAGTCATTGCCGGCTTCCTGCGTTGGCAACGACGTCGGATCGTCATATCGGTCGTAGCTACGGCCTTCGTTGACCTGGGTCGGCGACCCTCCCCCGTCATCGTAGGGCGGCACCTCGGAGGTGTCCATGGTCTCGGTGGCGGGGCGTACGAGGACTCTCTGCCACGGAGGGTCACGAGATGGCGTGCCTCATCTGCCGGCTGAAGTCGAAGTCGCTGCGTCGAAACAGTCCGATGAAGGGGTCTTTGTTATGACGAGGCGCTGGCCATGGTCTCGTTTGTTCGTCGAAAGTAGAGAGATAAGTAGGCCGGGCGTCGAGGTCGGGTCGAGGCTTGTCGATGTGTAACGTGACCGACGTCGGGGGATAGTGTCTGGTGTGTCGCTGGAGCTGTGTTGGCGATCACAGCTCGAGGCTGCCACCAAGCGCGTCGCCTATGACATACCGCGTTGAATCGTTTTTTGCGGGGCATGAGCCAGCTTAAAATACAGTGCATAAAACACGGTGTTAATTTTGACACACTGTATGTACCATCCTCCATATCCCTCCAGTTTAACATATCGAGTCTCAAGCCAAACTGTCGGAATTTCTGTTGGTTCAAAAATGTTTTTTTCAATATTCGTCTGTCTTTACAACACGGCCGGCTGTGAAAGTTCTCAGGACAAGTTCCGGATTTGATCCTGCAAGCCGACCTTTTGGCTTCGCACGTGCTGCTCACCATCATGGAAAATGGCGCTCTTCTAGCAACCTATGCACAGTATATGAGGCCCAGAACTGTTGGCCGGGAGAGCCCACCAAGGCTGCGCCATGAAACCTTGGCCAGGAACAAGGCAAACCGGCCAAAACCTGTCCGGGGCAACCAGAAAAAAGCGTCTCACAAAAGGACTGACCTTCCGGCACTGCCTCGTTTGGGGATCGGCCAAGACGAAGGTCATGATTTCCCAAGCCTGAAGGCCTGGACTCGCTTTGCCAACGATTGTGATGTATTGCATCGTATCACACAGCACGTTCAGGTGTTGTTGCATTGTCACATTCTGTCCACGTCGATGTTTTGTCGCTCACGATGCGTTCTTTATGTAATACAAAAGATGCGCAATTGCTCCTTCCTCGTTGAAGGCTGTCCACATTCCAGAAATTCTTCACAGTCGCACGTGGAAGGCGCGTAGTCATGTGATGTTACCTTTGCTTCACTGTACCAATTGGGTTTCATCCCAAGTCTTGAAATTCGCACGGTAGATTGCAACCTTTAACGTCTGCATTATCGGTTGCGGTTCCCGGCTACATGCCGCCTTCGGGACGCTTCCATGGACCTTTTGATTTCTTCGCTGCCTATTCTCAAGTCGATCCTGATTGGACACAACTGCTTGGTTTCGCCCAGGATGCGCGGTTGGGGTTCGCGTCGTTTTGTTATGCTGAGATTGCTGTTCCGTTTGTTCATGCTCGGCGCGCAGATCCTTTCGCTCGTGAGCCGCATGCTCGAAACACACTGCATCTCGGACCTCGCGTTGTGCGGTTGTATTTTGTTTGTTCTTTTGAACCTCATTCATACAGCCAGCCGAGATGCTCCGCTTCAATCGAGTTGCCTCGTCCTTGCGCCTTCCTCGTATTGCTCCGCAATTGCGGGTGCAGTTGCCAGTTTCAGGATTGTTTACTATGTCCGTCTCTCGTGCAACAAGCACTAAAGACTGAAAGTGGCAGCCACGCTACTGCAGCCCAGATGCGCCTACCCTCTCGAAAACCGGGCGCAATCTGGAAGGCGCGACCAAAGAACATCGAGGCCGCGTGTGGAGTTTGCGCTGTGCCAAGTTCCGGCTCCAGAGGGCAGAATCGCGGAATGAGGAAAATCGACACTGTAGAATGAAAGGAGAAGGCTCCTAGGAGGTGGGCCTATGTTGTTGTTTCTATGGTTTCCATGCCTGAAGAGCGAGCCTAGTGCCACGAGAACACAACAAATAATACCTGCTATATATGGGCTGTGAGACAAGACAGTTGCACGTAAATCGCATGTCTGAACAGTCTCGGCAAGAGCGTCAGGAGACTGCAGGCACCACCCTCGTCGTGCAACGCACCTTCCCACCGTCCGGACCACTCTCAACACACTTAAGCCACCTCGACCCCGATCTCCTGCGTGTTCCCCTTTTCCTGCCGCGCGCATCTGTTTTTGAGCCTCACGTTTGTCTTCTTCCATGCACTTTTTGGCATTTTGTTCTCGTCCACTCCTTTGCTACCAACATCCCAGATTCGACCGATCGCGACGCTGGCCCACAGCCTACAAAGTTACTTATTACCACGACTATTTTGTATCAAACACACAACACCCTTGCAAAGCGCCGAGAAACGACCCAGGCGCGTCTCCTTTTGCCCTCTTATGCTGTTTAGTTCTCTACGCTGTATTTTACGACTTCATTCGATACTCGAGCGTCATTCGACTTTGTTCTTTCCTGTTCGCCTTTGCCAGCTTCTCTGCGTCTTGATCACATGCAGCCACAGCCATCACACGGTCGATTTCGTGTCTTGCTCTTGTCGTTCTTTTCCCACTCTCGTCGTCCCCGTCAACCGCAATCTGCTTCGTCAAAAATACACCCCAGCTCGCCAACTGTCGTTCATTTCCCACCCCCGGTGCATCAGTGTATTGCAACAGCCTTTCTCCATATTATATGCAACGCCGGGGGCGATTCTTACACCGCAATCTTCCTTCTCTGACAAACGCCCACCGGCGGCTGCTGACGGCGTGCGTTATCCAATTTTTAGGGCCTCGACAAGCGCCTCGCTCGTCTCTCGGCTGAGGTCTAGCCCTTGACCCAACTCAGCTAGGTTGCCACAGAAGCAGCGGATCCTCGGTTTGCGGGCACTGTCGCCAATGACGACCCAGAGATTGCCCTCCTAATATTAAATAGGGGAAACTGAAATAACCAAAAGGGGAAGAGACCAGGGAATTTCCTGGCAAAACAGGAGTCCGAAATACTTTCTGGAAATCCGTCGTTCTTCATGACCGGCTTCCTCTTCCAGCTGTGTTTTGCCTCTGCTTGTTCTCGTCATTTCCTCTACGATAAACCGTCTCTCCGCCGCAGCCGTTCTTTTGTCGTCACCCATCCACGGAAGTCGACGTCCCCTCTTTCAAGTCAATACCGCCAACGGCGCTGGCGCTGTGCGCAATCTCTCAGTCCTTACCCTCACCTTGCGAAACAACACCGCCTGTCACCCTCTGCATCATCTTCGTCCGTGTCGTCCCTCGCCCGTCGTAACCACTCCGCCATTTCCCACCGTCGCGCATCCCGCGGCGCAATCGGCGTCAACAAAGCTGTTTCACCGCTAGTCCACAACCGCATTGACCAGGCCGCCGTTCAGCTGCTGTTCAACATGGAATCAATCAAGTCCAAACCCAAGGCGGGTCGGCCCCAGCGAGCCCGCAACAATGGCCACGCTACCGCGAGGGAACAAGACAGCTCATCTTCGTCCGCGACCTCGTCTGAGGGCTCGTCTTCATCTGAAGAAGAGATGCCTGCCCGTCTCAGCGTTGATTCTTCCTCGTCTGCCGAGTCGACATCGTCCGAGGCCTCTTCCTCGGCCTCGGAATCCATGCCACCACCCCGGCTGCCACTGGTCTCTACGCCTCCCAGCTCTGTGATCCCCAATGCTAGCGCAGGCGCCAGCGCTTCGGGCAGCCAGCAGGAGGAGGAGATTGAGACACGGCCGTCACGGTCCGAGTCCACAGCGTCTCGCGCCAACCGTCTGTCGCTGACACTACCCATCGCACCGCCCACCTCGTTCCCGTCCAGGCCGACGCCCGCATCCTCGTCGGTGGCATCGTTCCCCGCCACACCTATTGACGTCGCATCGGGCTTGGCGTCGCCTGCTGAGCCACTTGACCTGATTACAGCCATTGCCGCCCAGGAGCGTCGTGTGCTCGAGCTTCGAGAGGAGCTCAACCGCGCAGAATCCGGTCTCACCAAACTAAAGAGGCAATGGGCCACCCACGAGGCGCAGAAGAAGCGGGCAGAAATTAGAAGAACAGAGCCCATGCGCTCGCTGCCTGCGCGGCCCGGCACCGCCTCAACGGTCGACCCCGGCTCTCCAGCCGTGCCGTTCGACGATGCCTCGTCAAAACGGACATCGGAGCTGGACAGAAGAAAGGCGCTGCTTCTTGGACAGCAACCGGGCAGCCAGGCAGGCAGCGATCCCAACACGCCAACGCAGTCTCGTCGCCGCGTGTTCCGGGGTGGCCATGCCCGAACATTGTCTCTTCTGTCGCCAACCAAGACGTCGGCTGATGGCTTCGATGTCCACGAGGACCAGCCCGAGGCAGGGGGGGACGAAGAAGCGGTCAAGTCGCCCATGTCCCCGCTGGAATTGGACTCGCCTTTCTTCCAGAACTTGAGCCGCAGCGCTGCCTCGCAGTTGTCAAAGCGTGCCTCGTGGGCTCCACAGTCTGTCCATCAGGTGGCAGGTCTGAAGCAGGTTGCCGGCGATCTTACTGCGACACTGTGGACGTTTGTTGAAGACCTGCGCCAGGCTACCGTCGGTGAGGAGCTTGCTGGGGCGAACAATAGCATGCGCAACATTGACCCCAACTCCCGCACAACCGATGACACGCAAAGCACAATCCGCGCCTCTGCCTCTGGCCGGCCGAATCTTTCCAGAGCCTTTACGACTGACCTGCAGGGCACACCAACGCCGCCTCCCCGTCACGGCGCCTCGGGCAGCATTTCGGAACAGCCAACCGACTCCAAGGATAAGAGCACCAAGTCGGCCGCCAGCGGCAGCACCAAGACAAGGGCCTCCAAGGCTGGTTCCAAGTCTGGCTCCAAGGCCGGTTCCAAGGCCGGAAATGGCAAAGACGCAAAGCAGTTCTCGTGGACGCCCCTGACAGTTGACTCGTACGACGATAACGACTGGTCAAGCTGGGATAGCCCCACGGTGAAGTCGCCTCGTTGGAGTGGGTCAACCGCAAACGGAGAGACGGTTGCCTCCTCCATTCCAGGGCAAGCTGACGAAAAAGCAACACCTCAGTAGGTCACGATAAGAGCCAGATGAACTGATAAAGTGGGTACGCACAGGTTACCGGGAACCACTGGCTGACACACATTGCAGAAAGCGCACTTCTCCCACGTCGACCTTTTCGCCCACATCGCCGTCCGGAAGCCGGGCCAATGACATCAACTGGCCGGCCGCTCTCAACCGTCTGACACCGGGCAACATCAAGCGCACAGCCACTGACCTGATGAAGGAGTGGGAGAAGTCTCTGTCGCCGCCGACGGATGATACGCAAGGCGAAAACACGCCCATCGTTGAGGACCGTATCCTGTAATGGGGCCACATAGCGTCCACGCCTTGCCCGCGGGATCTCCACCCGGTGCGGGCCGGCACGGAACGACAGTACTTTTGGATGAACGACATTTCCAGTTACAACTCATTATGATTTAGACCGTTTGACGACCTCCCAGAACAGCATAGCAGCATCAACAGCATGGATATAGATTGCAGTGTATACGCTTTTCACGGCACATCCGCATTCTAACGACAACACGCCACGCACATTCGGAGTTTGCCTCTTTATCCCTGTTGTTCCTCGGCCAGCAGCGGATTGCGTTATGTTTTATTTCTATATTGTTTTGGAGGAAAGAAAGGGGGCGAATAGGGTGCAAGATGGGAAAGACGAGACACGAGAGCTGGGAGAAAGGGTTGGTCTGGAAGTCGTGGTTTTGTATTACGGATTGTACATTTTAATTCGCTTCTGCCCATACTGCCACCAAGAGACATTGTCTCGTGGGCCTCGGCAGCGTTTCACCACCTTTTTATAATGATAATGAGACAACGATACATATAATAAGTCAAACAAGTCAAGCTGACTGCCGGTGATGCTTTGCAGGATGGCATACAATGATAGGTGTCATATTGAGCAAGCGGTCAACGGTATGGCGTATGATGCAATGCGATAGTGAGAGAGGTAGCGGACGATAGTGGGCAATTAGGGTGATGGCACCTTGGCGTTAGCGCCAATTGCTGCTGCCTAGCTCAACTCAGGTCGCCCAGCAGCTGTTATCTTTCCAATGCGGCAATTACTATGGCGTACAAATTCATATTTACGGAGTAATTACCTCGTAAAATGATACCGTGCAGACACTGTATTTATTCACTGTGCAGACTGCTCCCCGCAGACCACAGCTCCACCGAGCTGTGGCTCAGGCCCAATCACAAGCCGCAGAAGCTCAACGCCCGCACTGTTCCAAATGCCATCGTCAACTATCCATCCTTCTTTGTTCGGGGAATCTCTCCCACATCAAACATTCCCCTCAACGTCCTACCTCCGTTCCACCCCGTTGCTTCGACCGCACACATTGCTCGATCCGACGGAACACCGCACGCTTTTCTCTTTTTCTTCATTCGTTTCATTTTTTGGGTCGCTGGAGAGATCCGCCGAGTTTCGACGATCCTCGACAGCTCTCCTCTTCCCTTTTTCACGTCCATCGAGCTCTCTACCCCAAGGGCATAGACACACAGCTGCATCTTACACAGCCTACCCACGATGGAACATATAGGCAAGATCTACTCGGTGTCCGGACCCGTCGTGGTCGCCGAGGAGATGGAGGGCGTGGCCATGTACGAGCTTGTCAAGGTCGGCCACGCCAACCTCGTCGGCGAGGTCATCCGCATCAGCGCCGACCGTGCCACCATCCAGGTGTACGAGGAGACGGGTATGTCCTGGTGATGATGTGCTTGTTGTGTCCACTTGAGCTCTTTTCCTTTTCGTCCTTTGGCCACAACGAAATCCCCACTAACAAGACAGCCGGTGTCCAGGTCGGTGATCCGGTGCTGCGGACGGGCAAGCCGCTGTCGGTCGAGCTCGGCCCCGGTCTGCTCAACAACATCTACGACGGCATCCAGCGGCCGCTCGCCGCCATTGCCGACACCTCCAAGAGCATCTACATCCCCCGCGGCATTGCCACCAACGCCCTCGACCGCGAGAAGAAGTGGCAGTTCCGGCCGACGATGAAGGTCGGCGACCACATTGCCGGCGGCGACGTGTGGGGCATTGTGTACGAGAACTCGTTTGTCACGGAGCACAAGATCTTGCTGCCGCCGCGCGCGCGCGGCACCATCAAGCGCATTGTCGAGGCCGGCGACTACACCGTCGACGAGAAGATCCTGGACGTGGAGTTTGACGGCAAGGTCACGGGCTACGGCATGATGCAGACGTGGCCCGTGCGCGCGCCGCGGCCGACAACCGAGAAGAAGTCGGCCGGCCAGCCGTTCCTGGTCGGCCAGCGCGTGCTGGACGCGCTGTTCCCGTCGGTGCAGGGCGGCACCGTGGCCATCCCCGGTGCGTTTGGCTGCGGCAAGACGGTCATTAGCCAGTCCGTGTCCAAGTTCTCCAACAGCGACGTAATTGTGTACGTGGGCTGCTTTGCCGCGGGGACTCCGGTCATGATGTCCAACGGCACCATCCAGCCTGTCGAGACCATCGATCTGGGCGACCACGTCATGGGCAAGGATGGCAAGCCCCGCATGGTGATGGGCCTCCCCCGTGGCACGGAGACCATGTACAAGGTCTCCATGAAGACGCAACACAGCAACGAGAACGCTCGGCTGGCTTCGTTTGTGTGCAACGCTTCCCATTTGCTGGTCGTCGTGACGCCCCAGCATATTCGCAAGACCACGCACGTTCTCCGCGGCAAGAAGATGACTTCGGTGTGCTGGTTCGACTGGGACACCGCCCAAGCCGAGGACGGACGCCCTGTCCGCCTGGTCAAGCTCTTCACCAAGTCCTGGAACCACGACGCCCATGGCGGTGAGGCTGCTGCTGACGCGAAGGCTGCGGCCTTCCGATCGGAACTCCCTGCGGGTGACTTCGAGTGGAGCATCGAGGCCCGCGATGTATCCCTGCTTGGGACTGATGTCCGCAAGGCCACCCAACAGCTGATCAACCCTGTCCTCTTCCAGGCTGGGCATCTGTCCCAGGTCCTCGAGCGCCATGGCTACGAATCGGGCGCGCCGGAGATGGCCTATCTCCTGGGATCCTGGGTTGGCGGTGGGTACGACGACAGGGCCGCCTTTGCTGTGGATGCTCGCGATACGGCCATCAAGGGCCGCATGCAGGAGTACGGCAGCTTGTTCGACCTCACCGTGGACAGCCGCGAGTACAAGAAGGACATGTACTCCAACCAGGCCGATGCCAAGACCAACCCGCCTGACGACTCGCCCGCCAAAAAGGCTCGAAAGATCCTCGGAGATATCCAGGTCAATGCCACTCTCAACCGTGATGAGACCTCCCCGACTGTCAAGAAGGGTTTCACCGGTATTGGGGACGAGACGGTCGTCCTCCGCCCCTCGGGTACCGTTGCTGGGGCTGGGAAGACAAAGCCGCTCAACACGGGCAATGCCTTCTGGGCTGTGGCCAACGCCATGGGCGTCCGCGGCCCGGGTGGACAGCATGCCAAGGTGATCCCTGACGTGCTGATGTGCGAGCCTTTCGAGGTTCGTGAGCAATTCTTGGCCGGCCTCGTCGACTCGGACGGCCACGTCAAGCACAGCCCGCCCAGCGCTACGATCAAGACCATCGACACCGCTATCTGTGAAGGGGTGATCAAGATTGCCCGATCGCTGGGCGTCCGCGTGTCTGTGTCGACCGAGGCCGCGTCTGTGATCCGCGGTGTCTCACACAAGAAAGCCTACGCCGTTTTCCTGAGCGACCCCGAGAACACTGGTGTTTTGGCCTCCATCCTGAGTCGCTGCGCTCTGGAGCGCAAGAAGCTGCCGGCCCCGGCTGCTGTGGACCGCAAGGGCCAGGCCATGTACTTTGACCTCGAGAAGCAGGCGCCCGCCGAGTACTACGGCGTCACCCTGGCCGACAACACCGACCACCAGTTCCTGCTGGGCAACATGACGCTCGTCCACAACTGTGGCGAGCGAGGAAATGAGATGGCCGAGGTGCTCAAGGACTTCCCCGAGCTGTCCATTGAGGTCGACGGCCGCAAGGAGCCCATCATGAAGCGCACCACATTGATTGCCAACACCTCCAACATGCCCGTCGCCGCCCGCGAGGCCTCCATCTACACGGGGATTACCGTGGCGGAGTACTTCCGCGACCAGGGCCTCAACGTCGCCATGATGGCCGACTCGTCGTCGCGGTGGGCCGAGGCCCTGCGTGAGATTTCGGGCCGTCTCGGTGAAATGCCGGCCGACCAAGGCTTCCCCGCGTACCTGGGCGCCAAGCTGGCCAGCTTCTACGAGCGCGCCGGCCGCGTCAGCTCGCTGGGCTCGCCGCCGCGCGAGGGCAGTGTCAGCATTGTCGGTGCGGTCAGCCCGCCCGGTGGTGATTTCTCGGACCCTGTGACGGCATCGACGCTCGGTATTGTGCAGGTCTTCTGGGGTCTCGACAAGAAGCTGGCGCAGCGCAAGCACTTCCCGTCCGTCAACACGTCGCTGTCGTACTCCAAGTACACCAACGTGCTGGACCGGTGGTACGAGAAGGAGTACCCCGACTTCCCGCGCCTGCGCGAGCGCATCCGCCAGCTGCTGTCCGACTCGGAGGAGCTCGACCAGGTGGTGCAGCTGGTCGGCAAGTCGGCGCTGTCGGACCCGGACAAGATCACCCTCGACATGGCGACGCTGATCAAGGAGGACTTTTTGCAGCAGAACGGCTACTCGGACTACGACCAGTTCTGCCCCATCTGGAAGACCGAGTGGATGATGAAGCTCATGGTCGGCTTCCACGACGAGGCCCAAAAGGCCATTGCCCAGGGCCAGTCCTGGGCCAAGGTCCGCGAGGCCACCCAGGAGCTGCAGGGCCAGCTGCGCAGTCTCAAGTTTGAGGTTCCCTCCGACGGCCAGGACGTCATCTCCAAGAAGGTAAGTCTTTGTTGTCGTTCTCGTCCACGTTCCCGTTCCCTTTCGCGCTCCTCTTTTTTTTTTCATGAGTAACTCCTCTTACTGACAAAATCAGTACGAGGCTATCCAGGCGTCCATGCTGGACAAGTTTGCCTCTGTCATTGACGAGTAGAGTGCTTGTTGTCCATTTATAGGGGCATGTACGAGGAGGATACTGGGTTTTCATTAGACAAGGCTCACACGCATACGACTTAGCGGCAGAGCGACTATACAAGAGCCGACCAAAGACTGTTAGGACGGGGGGGAGGATGAGGAGGTACATGTCGCATTTTGTTGCTATTCTATTTTTTTGGCTTGCTTGACTTGACATTGGTCTCTTTCGGTTTTTAATCATACTTTGTTCATTGTTTCTAGTCGAATTTCTACGAAGCTCATCCTACCAGAGTCCCTCTATACCTTTGAAACCAGAGCGCCCTGAATCCGTCGTCGTATTTTGAGTGTACATCACCGTCTCTTAGGGTCAGGCCGTGGATAAACGAATTTACAAAGGACCGGCATTTATACCTGCTATTCAACATCCTCTTCTATATCAAACCAATCTCATGAAAATATCGAAAATAGAACGCTTTTACCTGTGTCTTTTATTTTTATTTATCCTTTTTTTTTAAAAAAAAAAAAGCGAAAATAGCACAACTTTGAGTATGAATTAAGCTGAATAAATGAAAATAAACATGAAAATCCTAAAGTCACGTAAATACAAAAAGAAACAATAAATGGAAAACTATACCTTGACCATACAGACGCTCCTTGTCATAATTTTATTTACACTCACCCGACTCCGATGATGAGCTTTGCATATACGCATTCTACGACCGAGCTGATTGGCTTTCGTGTACAACATGTTTGGCATGATATTGCTTGACCTGACGCCTTTTGTGCTCAACGATAGCTGGCAGATTGTGTGACAGGCCGAGCCGGCGGAATGGACGAAACCACACGAAGAAAACGCTCCCGGGTTTTTTTTTGTGGTGGGGGCCTGGGAGAAAAAGACTTGTCACGTCTTGTTACTAAATTAGAATTTTTTCTTTTGCGGGAAGAAAACCGGCATAAACTGATGGTTTTCTCTACCAGATACGCAGCACTCTTACCTCGCTTTTATTGCCGTTCTGATCTAAAGCCCATTTCATCGAATGTTCACCGTACTTTCAAATGAGTGTTTTAATTTTTGGTTTTCCTAACTTGAACGATGAAGACGCAAGTCAAGAATGTCAGAAACACCCAAAACGGCAGAGGCCCTTTTGTGAGCCCAAACACCCTGTAGCCTTGACCTCTTCCGCTTACATCTCGTCCCGGGTGTGACATAAAACTCTATTAGATACATGATTTCCCTCTCCGAAAATCCCACCAAGGTAGGCATCACAAAAAGGCTGAAAAAAAATAAAAATGAACAAGTTAAAAAGCCGGGTCCGTTTATAAAGGAATGTAGAAGAAGGGTATTAAAACAAAAAACCAATACCAGTCCGAGTTTCCCGATAAGGTGGTAGAAAGGAATGCCGTGCTTGGTAGAGCAACCCGCGAAAAAAATCGGAGAGAGACGGTCAAGAGACAAAGGGAGAGAGATGAACGTCGTCCTCGCCCTCAATCTCATCACCCGAAACGTCATCGCAAAGTCACTATCCCACCACGACGAATATTAAAATAAGGGAAATTTTTGCAGCAGAAAAATTCCAATGCCAAGAGAAAAAAGAGGAAGGAAAACAGGGTTTCGTATTAAAAGGTCTGAATGATAACCGCAAGAATTCAGACACACCGCCCGCACATCATTACAAGAGACGACTTCCAAGAAGGAGACAAGGCTCAAGTAGAGAACGGCTGCCTGGTTGCCTATATTTGGCGATGCTGTTATATTTACAGCACCAGAGCAGCCATACCGACGGCCAGACCGAAGGCAGCGACACCCTCGACCTTGTTGGCACCGGCAGTGACGACGACGGGGGGTCTCGAGGCGGTGGTGGTGGGAACGACAATAGGCGTCGTCGTGGGGTTAAGAACGGTGTTGGTGATCTTCGTGGTGGGAGCAACCTGCGTCTCAGTGGTGGCCTTCGTGGTGGGAACAACCTGCGTCTCAGTGGTGGCCTTCGTGGTGGGGACGACCTCCGTCTCAGTGGCATGCGTGGTAGGGACAACATGTGTCTCGGTGGTGGCCTTCGTGGTGGGGACGACCTCCGTCTCAGTGGCATGTGTGGTGGTAAGAGGAGGGACAACAGTGGTGGTGGGCGGCGGGCCAGGGGTCTTGGTGAAGGAAATGGTCTCGATAGTGGTGGTGCCACTCTTGGTCACCGTCTGGGTGCTGATGGTGGTGCATTCTTGCAGGACCGTCGTGACGGTGGGAGTGACGGTGATGACGACAGGGGGCACTTGGGTGGTCTTGTTCGCGTACGGGACAGTGGCGTGCGAGGTGGTGGTGTAGACCGGGGGAGTATAGCACTCCAGGGTGCAAGGGCAGTCTTCGGTATGTTAGCAGATGTTGTAGGATATTAAAAAAGAAGCAGCAACAATGAACTCACCAGTGATGGTCAGGGTGGTGGCCTCAGTGACGATGATGGTCTTGCTCTTGAAGAGCAGCGTGGTGGGCTGCGGGCAGAACGTGGTGTATTCGGAGACGACAACAGTAGCCGTGGCAGCGGCGTTGGCAGCGGCGTTGGCATTGCCGCCGTTGGCGTTGGCGTTCGCAGAAGCAGCAGCAGCGGCACCCGCCGCGGCACCGGCACCAGCACCGTTGGCGCTGGCAGCAGCGTTGGCACCGGCCTCGGCACCGGCGCCGACAGCGGCAGCAGAGGCGGAGGCGGCAAAGCCGACGAGGGGAGCGACAAACTTGATAACCTGCATTTTGAAATACTAAGGTTGTCTTGTTGTAGTTGGTGTTGGCAACAAAAGCGAGTGTGTGGGTTGGGGGGTGAGCGAGAGTAGTGAAGACAAAAACCTTCGAGAGAGAGGGTGAGGAATAAGAGTTTATATAAAAATATAAAGAAGAGCGAGCGAGGTGTGAGGCAAGCGAAGGACTGAGTTGTAGTCTGAGTTAACGAGAGAACTTGGGAAGAAAAGAAGAGGAAGGAACAAGAAATAAATATGCATCGTGAGGGAGGGGGAAGGCGGCCTTTTATCAAAGAAAGCGGTGCTTATTGAGCCAAGACCGCTCCGCAAGCGGGAAGCAGCAGGCAGGATGGGCCAACCCTATGTTTGGGAAGGATATAGGACGCCAACAAGAAAGAAAGAGCGAAGTGGTCGGGGTGTGGAGGAGGTGTGTGAGTGTGTGTAAGGATGTAAGTGGGACGCATTTTGGCGTACACTAACAAACGAACACTGGGAAGTGGAGAGAAAAAATGAGACCAGCCAAGACACGAAGGCGAGAGGGCGAGAGGGGACGGGGACGTGAAGGACGAGAGAGACAGCTGAGCCGGCCAAGACAAAGTGGACTTGCTGGACTCGCTACATGGACTGGCTATCGGGTGCAGTACCTGGCGGTTCCTCGAGGACTAGGACGCAAGAGTCTACTGCAGGCCGCCTGTTGATCGAGTATGTTATCATGGTTGCATTGTCGTCATGTCTGCCCACTCACACTTGCATGTGCTGTGGTGCGTGGGTGGATGTGCACAAGCGGCGAAAAGAATAAAACAGACCGCTGGAGGTAACAGTCGAAGACAGAAAGGCCTGGCCCGGAACAGGATGCGGACGAGCGAGCGCCAACCACAGACCAACTAAGGATCTCGTATATTGGATTTGTAGGCTGTCTCGTCATCATAACCAGACGGTCACGGTATTCTTTTGATGGGGCTCGAGCTGAACTTGACGAGCAAGACTGCGGCCGTGTAAGAACCCAAAGGTAGAGTCTGGCCACAGTACTTTGTATTATGTCATAAAAAAAGGAAAGGTTCTTTCTGGCGTGGTTGTGGTGAGTGGGATCAGTTTTCATTCTATTCTTTCTTCTTACTATTTTTGGAGGGTCACCGGCAGGTAGACGCTGTTCTCGTCCTTTCGGGCAGAGTGTGGTCTCAGCTTCGTGTATACCGAAGTTCAGAAATTTTGAGCCAACGGCCCGGCAGGTCGTGGATGTGAGACTCGGTGTGGAGACGTCATGACTGCACTTTGTAAGAGCAAGAGCCACGCAGGAAACGCCTTGTCAGCCTCTATCTCGGAACGGATTACAGCAGTTGCTTTCGTACCACAGTTGTTGGCAGAGACTGGGAGTCACTGGCAGCCCACGTTTGTGAAAGGATGGGCAGATTTTGTTCCCTCTTCATTATCGGGGAGGGTGGTCCTTTGTCAGTAGCAGACAGGTCTGTTGCGCCTCTCTTTGCTTGTATGCAGGAGCACACAAGGATCGGCCAGCCTTACATGCGCTGGGGCTGCGGTATTTTGTCGCCTCGAATGTGCACTTTCTGGAAAAGCATAATGAGACACTAGTAGTCTTTGGTTCGTCCACTGCTGATCCCGCTCCTGCTCCCAAACCATGACGGGTGGTGTGGACATGTCTGCGCAGTGTCTCCCAGCACGCTGGATGACAGTACTTCTGATCGTGTTGACAACTTGGCAGTGCATGAGTGAGGCGCTATGGGTCGTATTACGTTGCCGCAGCACTCGCTGTAGAAAGCGACTTGTCGTTTGCGGAACCACATAGGGCTGAAGTAAGTATCATTCCCATTTCGGGACTAGCATGTCTCTCAGGTTGTGATTGTCTCCAATTCCATGTTAGCGAAGTGGAAACACATTAAAGTCGAGTGGGCAACAGGGCATCAAGGGCGGCAGAGACATAGTGGCCTAGAAGCACGTTGTAGCCAAGATTCGAGAAATGTTGTGCATAACAACAAACCAAAAACCCGCAAAACAGAACGTAGGCCAATGTATGACGGAGTAGAAAAAAACAAAATACGAGGTTCTCCTGACCAACGAGAAGCCTCCAAGAAACGTACCTCAATACTCCAACGACGACCTAGGTTTGGAGAGGAAAAGAAAGGAAATTTGGAGACAATGGCGCCGACGTGTCAACGTAACGTGGTTGTCGGAGGACAAAGAAACGGAAACCAATAATGGTTGAACTCGGCCAGACATCAGACCGCCGAAAGATGCGGTGGCTGCTCAACAGCCACATTGTCAAGGAGCTGTTTGGTGAGC